ATCAGTGTAGTTCAGAACCCCCAGGTAATTGTGGGTGGAAAATAAGTTTGCGAGAGGCCTATAATTCACCATATTTCTGATAGTGCCGAGCCCTAATTGTCATATTTAGTCCGAGAATCAGGCTGCCTAACACTGAGGTTTTTCAATAAGTGCTTGTGACAGTACTTGGGGTTACCATGGCTACGGTTTGCTGCACATTGCTCTTGTACACCCCAACACCCCGATCTGTCGTTTCTGTACTGCGGTAAATACTCATCTCCGCCTGCCACATTAACAGAACTGGAAATGGGCCAGCGCTATTGACGTGTTGTTATCTTGAGGTCCAAAAATCCACGGCCTTGTGCTCCTCGTACACCCACTGACAACATCCTTCCCAGGAGTGAGTTTTAATTGGTTGGCAGGCCCAGTCACTGGGGATGTACAGCATATGCTTCTCCTTTTAGCTTCAAGACAGAAACTGTGATTTTATGTAAACTACCTTAGTAATTAGATAACAAAGAAAAGCTTTCTGCTGAAATGTTTCGGTTAGGATGTGTAGGAGGAGCATCTACAAGTGTGTATGGCTATAATTTAAGAATGGGTCATGATGGATGATAACCAATTACAGTAGTTGATGGTTCCCACAGACATGGACCAAATATCGGGGGATTTTAAAATTGTGATCTCCAGGCCTGGAAAAGTCAGGAAAATTTTCATAGTGAACATATACTGCTGTTCAAAAGTTTGGGGCCATTATTAAAGAAATTAATACTTTTATTCAGTAAGGACGCAGTCAATTAATCAAAAGTGACAAGACAATTGTAATGTTACAAAACATTTATATTTCAAGTAAATGCTGTTCTTCTGCACTTTATATTCATCAAAGAATCCTAAAAAATAATGTCTTACAGTTTTCATAAAACTTTTAAGAAGCACAACTGTTTTCAACATAATAGTAATAATAAGAAGAAAAGTTTCTTTAACACCAAATCAGCATATTAAAATGATTTCTGAAGGATCATGTGACACTAATGGCTACTGAAAATTCAGCTTTGCTATCACAGGAATAAATTGTATTTTAAAATTATAATAATCTTTCACAGTATTGCTGTTTTCGCTGTATCAAATAAATGAGCCTTACATAAGCATAAATAAGTTATTTCCAAAAAAAGAAAAAAGTCATACAACCATACATTTTTAAATTGTTGTGTATATTTTTCAATTTTTGTTTTCAACATTCTGCTCAAAAATGTTGTATCAGCTTGATATTTCCAGATATTGTAGGTTACTCTTTCACTTTTGAAAAATGGAATACATTTAGATGGTAGATAATTAGATAACGATAAATATTGCGATGTAATTTTCCTCGATAAAACGATATGAAGAGTTCGATAAATGTTCGATATAATGTTTATGCGCCAAAAGCAGAACAAAACAGCGCGATTTATTTGAATCGCACCAAACAGACCGTTTATCCACTCGGATCAAAGTTCAAACTGCCGTGCGGCGCGAGCTCACTTGAGCAGATGCGTTTTCTCGGTTATGAGAGCATTAAGCAGCGCTGTGAGATCCAGTGTGAAGCGCTTGAATTCAGAACACAAAGACTCAGTGATTTAAACTAGTTTAAAGCCAAACAGGAGAAACTCTGTGTGCAATGAGACAGTCAGAGGTCTTTTCAATCTACAAATCGCCATCATTTACCATGGATTTACTGTAGTAACACTCACTGCACCATGGTATTGTGGTAGAAATTTGGGATATTCACACTGAATTTTATTACAGGAGTAATGGTAGGCCTATATAATTGTAGTATGTATTTGTGATTAAGCTATAGCATGTGTGCATTTATACTGAATGTTTTTAGACTACTGTTTTTCATTCAAATAGGCTACCTTAAAACCATATACCGTATTGGCCCGAATATAAGCCGACCCTGATTATAAGATGACCCCTCTCTTTCCAGATGTACCTTTTGGAAAAAGGCTTTTTAAAAACCAAATCTTGTTTTTTCTCAGTAAAACACATTTTGTCTTCAATTATTTTCATATTGCATATTTTTCCAATTTTAATTTTAGTTTTGAAAGTATGGTAAAAACTGGTCAAATGTACCAACAATCACATTTAAAAAATATACACTTTTTGATATACCATCAAAAAAAAAAAACAGGTAGCCCATCTGAATTAGAACATTTAGGCTATCCATCTAATAGTAGCCTACCAAAATCTTATTAACAGTAGAAGTTAAATCTTACTGTAATCTTCAAATCTGATAATTGATAATGAACAAAAATTTACCTCTGCATCCTAACTCAAGCTACTATCAAATGTACATTTCTAAGAGACAAAAAGTGATATAATTATTATTAATATTATCAGGCAACCCAAACCTGTTTCTTGATTTGAAACAATATCACTCATTATAACATGCAGAAACTAAGAAATTCATTTTTCTATTTAGATATTTATTTTGTTAAGGAAAATGAATGGTCTGGTTTCTACAACTTTCACTTTGGAGCAAAAATCTGGCTTTAAACTTGAAAGAAATAAAGATTTGACATTTATCGTGATAATTATCG